ATGAGCCAAGCCCAACTGGAAATACTGAACTTGGATTGGTGAAGAGCATGGGAGAGAAGATTCCAGACTGGTGGGGCAGTATGACTCACAGAATCTTGGAACGTTAGCACGGAATGTAGACAGGAGGGACACAGTCTGTTCTGAGAAGGGTAAGGAGACCTCTCACCCTGGGGTGGGCAGGGACTAGAAGGGACAGAGTCAAACCAGCTGGTGCCAGTTCCCCTAGGGCCTCAAGGGACCTTTGTCTGAAGAGTTAGCATTTGACTTTGAGAGCAACCGGGGATTCCTAGGAGTTCCAGGGTAAGGACATGGGATGAAGTGCTCAAGTAACTGCTTTACAGTGTGAATTGGGTGAAGCAAGGTCTTTGGGAGGTGGTAAACCATCCTGAAGGCTTTGGGGGCAGTCCTGGAATACCTCTAGAGACAAGAGACAGCCAAGGAATGGGGGGAACAGGCGGGCCTTGAAATACCATTGAGTTAGATGAAGTTGAAAACAAAGCCATAGGATTAAGGACTGGAAACCAGATAAAGGTGTCTGCTCACTCATTTGCTGCTAATCCCTAGCTTAGAATGCTACTGGTCTATACTGTAAGAGTTCTTTTTGGGGGAATGCAGACACTTTAGCCCAATGTTTTTCTGATCTTTTCTTTTCACCCTTAAAGTTGAACCTCTTACCGGAATTGGGGGTGGGGGTATTTGATGGCAGCGATTTTTGGGGGGGGGGCGTTATCTGTTGCTTTATTTTTCTTATGCTGGATTCTAGTGAATAGTGTGGATTATGGCAAGGATGAGACCCTCCTACAGCTGAGGAGGATGTAAATCAGAGAGCACAAAGTGGGGATCTTCCAAAGAGAGGGATAGGAGAAGATTGAGCAAAGCCAGGGCAGGGAAGGGTCAGCAGACACTCAGAGGAAGCACCCAGGCCAGCAAATGCTGAGGCAGATGATACAATGGATCAATGCAGGGAGAGAAAGGAGGGGCTAGCCTGTCACAGGAAGAGGTTAAGGGCCTCAAATCTGGACACAGAGTGCCCCAAAGTTACTTTTCCTTTAGTCCCCCAGCCATGCCCCTCCCCCTCCCTCCAGACCACAATTCTCTAATATCACTATTTCTCATCTCCGTATCTGCAAAGAGAGTCACATAGAGTGGAAGCTGTGGCTCTTACTTCACGGATAGGGTACTTCCCAACTCCTCTCAAAGTCAACTCCAGTCTCCCAGTATTTACATATCCAAACTCCTCTCTTGCATCACTAGGAAAGGAGTCCTTTGCTCACATTTTCTCAGCTACTCACCAGCCTCCCTCACTGCTCAGTCTCTTTCTAATTCTCTAGATCAAAGCACACACCTCAGAGTTGCCCTAGGGGATCTCAGACCTTGTCCACCAGGCAGGGAAACAATGACTCAAATGACTCTCTTCGACTGTACATTATAATCTTCCTGTCTTCGAAGAAAAAAGAAAATGATCCTTATTTGGGGAGTAAAGAAAGCTGATGGTGTTTCTAGAAAAAGAAAATGTTTGATTCACAAAAAAATTATATCCGAAAGTAGGTGCGGGCTGGATAGTAGAGGAGGGAATTTTGTAAAAGGGCAGGAATAGTGACTTCATGGAGAGTTTTTAGGCGCCAAAGCTCTCTTCAAAATAGAATTTGAAAGCTGGAAAATTGGTATGCCTGGGACTCCTCTGGAGTTTAACTCCGAGTCCCAGACTCGAGGAGGTGCCTAAACTAGCTCTCCAGACACAATTTCCTGGTCCAGAATCAAGTCTGCCTGCTCCAAGGCAGAGCGCGCGAGGAGGGGATGGGGCATCGTGTCTCCTCAATCCAGAAGTCTCCCTCTCCTCAGAGTGCGTTAGCAAAACCTCTGGGACTGAATTGATGCTTCAAGGGAAACGAAAGTAAAGCTTTCTAAAGTTTCCAGCGCGGGCTCTTTTTGTTTCCCGCTATCCGCCCAATCTGAATCTGGGCGCTGAGCTAGGGCGGGGCGCAGGAGCCACCTCGGCGGAAACCGCCCCAGGCCGCCCGGGTGGCGGGAGGGGACTGCGAGGGGCAGAGTGCCGGGCCCGCCCGCTCCCTCCCGCCCGTCTGGGACTGCAGACCTCGAAGCCTGGACGGGGCGCGCGGGCTGGGCGGGGCGGGGGCACGCTGACCGCGGTCTCTGTGCGTCCCGCAGGAGGGGAGCCCGCGCCACCGCGCCCGGGCGGCGGGCGATGATCACCTAGGAGGCTGGCGCGAGCAGCAGAGGAGCCGGGCGCGGCGACACGCGGCCATGGAGCGGGAGCCCGCGGCGGCCGAGGAGCATGCACCCCCGAGACGGCGGCGGCGTTCTCGACGAAGGCGCTGGGAGGACCGGACGCGCACGGTGCGCTCCAACTTGCTGCCTCCCCTGGGCACAGAGGACCCGGCGGCCGGAGCCCCCAAGGGGGGGCGGCTGCTAATACGCGGCTGCACCCAGCACCTGGCCGACAACCGTCTCAAGACCACCAAGTACACGCTGCTGTCCTTCTTGCCCAAGAACCTCTTCGAGCAGTTCCACCGCCTGGCCAACGTGTACTTCGTCTTCATCGCTCTGCTCAACTTTGTGCCAGCGGTGAACGCCTTCCAGCCGGGCCTGGCACTGGCGCCTGTTCTCTTCATCCTGGCGGTCACAGCCATCAAGGACCTGTGGGAGGACTATAGCCGCCACCGCTCGGACCACGAAATCAACCACCTGGGCTGCCTTGTCTTCAGCAGGTGAGCCTCACTGGTCCACTTGGGGTCAAGCGCCTCTGGGGAAGTTGGTGCTGTGTGTAATGCGCACGAGGCCAGGGTGGCCCGTGGAGCAGCCGGGGTCCTGTGAAGTCTTTCAACCTCAAAGGTGCCTCAGCGCCCTAGATGCAGGGGGCCACGCGGTGGGCCCTGTCCCAAACTAGCACTCCAACTTAGTTTCTAAGCCAGAACAAACCCATGGTTGGCATCTGGCAGCACCTGGGCAGTCTCATCCCCAAGTGTTCCTACCTTATGCCTGGACATGATCCTCAGAAGTTCTGGCCTCAGCCCTTGGCCAGCCACCGTGGCATTTAACACACAAGAATGATAGCTCGGTCTTAGATAAGAGTTGTCTTGGGAAGGAAAGTTCTGATACACCTGGCACAGATCAGACTGAAGGGCAGGGGCACAAACAACAGTCCATCCACTTATGTGAACCGTGATCCGGCCACAAACTGGGTACCATTTCTTAGTCTCCTGGCCCCCTGAAACTGCCCTTCTGGCTCCTCTCCCTCCTCTCTCTTTTCCTTTCTTGTCTACCTCCTCTCCTTCTCCCCAGTGTTTCTGAGATAGGTCTCTATGTAGCCTCGCCTTTTACTTAGCTGGTGATGATCTTCCTACCTCAGTGCTGGGCTTAACAGCCATGAGCCACCACACAGGTCAGTCTTCTTTCCCTGTGTAGCTCTGGCTGTCCTGCAACTCTTTAGACCAGGCTGGCCTCTAACTTAGAGGGCTCCCTGCCTCTGCCTCCTCAGTACTGGGATTAAAAGCATGTGCCACCCCCACCAGGCTGTGGCCAGTTATCTTAATAAGAATTTTGTTTCCAGATGAAAAGAGGTCTTGGGGAACTGAGATGCTTCCAGGTTGGTGACAGAGAGTTACCTTCCAATGGGAGTCTGCTATTCTTCTGCTCTGAGAACCCTAAGGCTAGATGGAAGCCAGGGTTTCCTGGTGCTCCTTTCTCCTTTTATCCCCCACCTGGAAGTCTACATAGAGGTAGATGATCTTGGAGCACTCTACTTAGCAGCGGGGCAACCCTGAGGAAAGTGATGTCGTAGTTCCTTCTAAAGCTTAGTTCATCATTTTCCTCTGGCTCACCTTGTTGGACATGACCTCCTAGTTGGTTGACATTCTCTATGCTCTGCTTCCACCATGCCTGAAGGCACCCTAAGAAGCCCCTGCCTTTCAGTTGCAAATTGTGCCCCACACATATGGGTGATATTGTTGAACCTGTCTTTTGGGATAACTTAGAAGACAGGGAATCAGCCGGGCGGTGGTGGCACACGCCTTTAATCCCAGCACTCAGGAGGCAGAGGCAGGCGGATCTCTGTGAGTTCAAGGCCAGCCTGGTCTCCAAAGCGAGTTCCAGGAAAGGCACAAAGCTACACAGAGAACCCTGTATAAAAAAAAAAAAAAAAAGAAAGAAAGAAAGAAAGAAAGAAAGAAAGAAAGAAAGAAAGAAAGAAAGACAGGGAATCTTTTTCTCTACACTTGAGTTTTGATTTTTGGTTTTGATAAGGTTCTTGCCATGTTGTCTAGGCTGATTTGAATCTTTTGACTGCCTGGGCAGTGGTTGAGGTTCAGAGAAGTTAAGTAACTTGCACCTACTGCAGAGTGGTGCTGGGGTGCAAACAGGTTTCTCATATTTCTATGCTTGTGCTTCTCCAACTTTTTATAAGAACCACTGGGGAGTTTGTTAAAGTATCAGATATCAAATGTGTTAGACTCAGCAGGTCTGGGAAGAGGCCCAGGAATGAGTGTGAAATAGCAAAAAGGTGACTCTTATGTGATGGCCCACATTTGAGTAACACCCCTGGAGAGGTGCTCCTTGGCCAGTTACCAGACATGGTTTCGTGGGTGGCAAGGGCTGTGGAATTTCCTGAGTCCTGCTCACCAGAAGCTTTAGCAAGGGAGTGGGGAATCCTTTATACAAAAGCTCTCAGTGTCTCCAGCTCCAGGCAACCATGTGTCTGTCCTCTGCACATATGAGTCAGGGCTCTAACAAGTCTCTGAGTCGGTGTACATCGACTTCCCACTTCCACCCAGCCTTTATCATCCCAGTAGCTTCCTTTTCAGAAATACTTAAGCTTTAGGAAATAGTTTATCCTTAGTTGACAAAGTGCTGCCAATTTGTCATTTGGACCTCGAAAGCAGCCCTGTCTGATGGACGGGGGAAAAAAAAACTGAGGGGGGGAATCTGACACTGCAAAACCACATCCACCTAAGTTTTAGGATTCCAGTTTGTTCCTGAGTGTCTAGTACAGCCTCCAGAGAGGCCTATGATGTTCCCAGTACTCCCTGTCTCTCTAAGTTAAATTCTTGAATAGTTTCCCTTGGAATGAATAGCCCTTCCACCAGGGAAGGCCTCTGGGTAGTTAGTGGGCTTGAGAGAGATGATGGTTGTGTGTGGGGGTCTCACCCCATCTCTCATCTCCCTCTCTGACCTTGTCATCATCCCAGTGCAGCCATTGCCAGCATTTTTTTTTATCAATTCCCAACTATGAGAAGGGCAGTTAACCTTATGCCTCATTTTGCTACCTTGTTATGGAAAGACAGGTCAAATTCTTCCATTCTCAGAAGCCTGGGGTTGGTGTTATCAGGCCCTTGGGGTGAAAGGAGGTTGAAGCTGGGTTCCATCCAGGGCTACTGTTAAGCCCCGTCCCCAAGAAAGGCCCAAGGCTGGGCTCCTGACCCTGTTTTATAGAGTGGTTGCCAGGAGACACCTCTTAGAGAAGGCAGCTAAAGAGACTGGGATTGCTTGCTGGGCGGTGGTGGTCCATGCCTCTAATCCCAGCACTCAGGAGGCAGAGGCAGGCAGATTGCTGTGAATTCAAGGCCAGCCTGGTTTACAGGGCTAGTTCTAGGACAGCCAAGGCTACACAAAGGAACCCTGTCTCGAAACACACACACACACACACAAAGAGTTTAGGGTTGCCATGTAAGGACCAAAAGGATGTGACCAGAGAGGTGCAGTGAGGGTGGGTGCTGCAGGTAAGGGATGGTGGAGATGGGGTACATATGCTGGCCAGGACATAGAGAGATCAGGAATGAATTATAAGGCATATGGGGTGAGGATGGACATGGGCTTTGGCTCATGGGTCACTGCACTGGGAGAGGCCAGGAAGAGACCTGTCAGGTCAGTCTGGCTAGAGCCTTTGTGAGCATAGCAAATCACAGGTTACTGTGAAATGTGGCAGTCTGTCCTGTCTTGTGCCTATTCCAGGTGCCATTGCTTCAGTTACAGTACAAAGGGAGGTATTTATTCAATCAGAGTAGCTTTGCTGGTTTGTTGGAGATGGACAGTCTCAGTCTGGTGCCTAGACTGGCCATGACTCTTGGCCTCAAGTAACCCCACTGCCACAGTCACCAAGTAGCTGAGTTCAAAGCCTGAGGGACCCTGTCCTCACAGGTGAATTAATGACATGTGACTCTTTATATGGCCTTTTTTGGGTTTGCTTCCCAGTCACAGGCTCTTGAGTTCCTTGCTCTGAGGATCCTCTGTGGCGCTTGTTGTGAGTGCAGCTTCCTAGGCAAAGCATTTGAAGCAGCCATTATCTGCCTATGTTCTGAATACCTTTTATCCTCCAGTGGATTGCAGACTATTTAGGAAGCTCCCCTGAGCCACACTCAGTAGCTGGAGAAATAACTGTCTCTAGGCCAGGGGTTGAGAGTCCTGAGCTAGGTAGCACCATCGTTAAGAGTGTTCTGATAGGAGTCCAGGACAAGGGTCCCAGCACTGTACAGCTGATGGTAACCTACAGTAGGAAGTGTACAGTGGGGGTTATGTGGGTACCAGTAACCATGCATGAAGCAGTCCCTTATGTGAAGTGTGGAGTTACTTGCACCAAACCCTCACACATTCTCCTGGGTACTTTAAATCAACTCTAGATGATTTGATGCCTATTATTGGAAATACTGTTCTTTTGTATTGTTTAGGCAACAAGGACAAGAAAGGGGTACACAGACATATTTTACTTTTGGTTCAGTGTTGGTTGAGGCCTTGGGTGTAGAATCTGCAGGTATGGGGGAGCTGGGTGTGCCACAGTGAGATGTAAAGCAGCAGAAGGACCTACCCTTTCACTATTGTCTGGAAGGTGCTCAGTGTTAGTTTATTAAAAAGGGGCAGATGAAGAGAGAGACCACAGTCAGAAAGAAAGCAAGCCTTTGTCTGACCTTAGGTAGGACCATGTTTATTCACAGAGAATGGGGCATCTTGTCACTCATGTGTGCAGATGGCCAAAGTGCCTGCAGGGGAAGATGGGAGGTGGCCTCTTTCTTATGGGGCAGAAATAACTTCTGTAGTCTACAAGGGAAGCTGGGAAGTGTAGTCCTTCAGCAGGAAATGATCATTCCTATGAAAGGATATAAAAAATGCAGGACAGAGGTGTCATAGGTGTTTTCTGATGAAGAGGGTCTTTGTTGGAGTGAGTAGTTCTGGGTTTATAAAGAGGGTGCCCTCTGGTCATGTAGTTGTGGGAGAGTCTTAGCTTGATCAGCTGCAATAGATCAGGTGATTGTGGTCCTGCATTCCTGATAAGACTTTTGGAAATAATTATTAGAGGGCTATAAGAGGATGATTTGCTTACAGAGTAAAACAGATTTCCTAGGAAGAAGGGATAGGGAGGAACAGAGGTGGGAGAAAGTGGGCATAGAGTTGATTCAGGGTGACAGCAACTGGTCCCATGGCCAGGATCGTTGCATCAAAGTTAGCTAACAGAAGTAGCAGGGAGCTATAGAGCACCAAAGGAAGGGACCAGGACTAAACAGAGGACTAATATAAAGAACTGTATCTGGCCCAGGGTAATAGGGATGAAGGTCTCTTTTAGGCAGAGTTTCTCCACAGCATCTGAAAGGTCTTTTGCAGATGTATCAGGAATAAATGGAGTGGTTGTAGGGTGAGAGCTAACATGAAACATTTTGTTTGAGTATAGTCACTCTATATAGTTCAGGTATAGCTCAGTTAGTAAAATATTTAAAAGGCAGGA